CCAAACATTTGCGATGCTTTCGAACAATTGTTTCAAACAAGTTTCCTCAAAGTAACAAAATTTCATTAACTAAAAGCACCGTGCAATATTTGAGCGAAGAAGCGATGACAGCGAAAGAGATTAGAATAAACATGAACTCATGGAGAAGTAGTAATCTTTCCGAGAAATTAATTAAATGAACTGAAAATATTTATGCACAAAATGCAATCAATATTGCCAATAAATTCACTTCAATTAACTATTGAGTATATGCCCAATACGACTGTTCCTTTCGGAATACTTCATTCGATCGTTTTGTTAACACTGAGTTCAGCCACTGGATGAATTAGTTTCAGGGTTCGGTGATGTTCCAGTACGGGTTGGACCGCTTCTATCAAAATTCGCGAATGTACATCAAATCGCGTAATGATGTACAGTTGTTCGGCGATGTGAACGCGACTAGTGACTGTGAACCGTTTGCGGTTCAGAATGTCAACGGTCATCTGCTAGCGATTGTGCCTTGTGGCACCATTGCAAACTCAATGTTCAACGGTAATGATAAAACTATTGAATCGAACAATTCACGTTGAAATTCTTAAATTACACCAGTGATGTGGTGTCTTCTTGTGAACTAAAATAAGAAGCACATGTACACACAATATGCTTTTCACACCTCATTTGTTGGCTTATTTATTTGTGGTTATATGCATAACAGCGTCAGCCGCAACCAAAATCGTTGCTATTGTAATCCGATGAAACCACTAAACATTCGGAGTATTCGAGGAGAAACCGAACGATCAAATGCTTTCATCCAACGGGTTTAATTTAACTGCATTAAAAAAAAGAATGCGATTGGGTTGTGAATGACACCGATGATAAGAAATACCTAGTGCTGGACAAATTGTACAGCTCTACAAATTCACGCATATAGGCATTTAAGAATGTTAATTACACCAACGATAGTTGTTATCATGAATGAAACTGAAACGAAGATGCAAATCGATGATGCTGTATTCGTTAATTTTGCCGACATTCCGGCACTTGAGCCCTTACCAAGTCACACTTCATCTCGTCACAATTGCACTACGCTATATTCTCGGTTTGCAGATACTTTTGCACTCTATTATTTGCCACCGAATGGCGAACAACGAGTGCTGGTTCCGTTCAGTAGCGAAAATGTTATATGGGCCGGAGAACGGCAACGTAAGTTTAGGAATCCACCGTTCGATCCTGCGAAGAATCAAACGCTATGCGATGCGTTTGTGGTGAGTTCAGTGCTTCTCGAACGATGCATCTCAACTTGTTTGTTCGAATTGCGTTTTCATTTTCATTTCTGCAGTTTGCTCCATTTTTTCTTGAAATGATTTTTCTCCTTAACTTATAGGCCTACATTTAATTTGCCTGCTGTTGAAGCCTAACATTCGCATCACTTCCAACTATTCATCAAACTTTTTTTTGTTGCATTTAGGGAACAGTGAAACCACCAAATTGGGCTCATCCAATTTGCGAACTTGGCAAAAACGATCCGTTCGCGGATCAAGATCCAGGAATTGGTGTTGGCTTAGAGAATATCGACTTTATTGTATGGATGAAACCAGCCGCGCTACCAAAATTTCGTAAGAACTACCGCACAT